TTCCCTTTTTCAAAGGATGTTCCCTTTTTCAAAGGATGTTCCCTTTTGCAAAGGATGCTCCCTTTTGCAAAGGATGTCCCCTTTTTCAAAGGAATACCTTTGCTCAACTGTTTTGGCCTTGACCCCTTTTTGAAGGGGTTCCCCTTTACCAAGGGCTGGGAGAACACCTTCACTTGCTGCAGAGTTCTTCCCTCATTTGCACTGCTTCTTCTTTGGTCAAGTGTTTCTTCTCCAAGGCTTCTTTGATCTTCCCAATGATCAGCCCATACCTGTTGCTCCTTTTGTTGCTCACTTCAACAATGAGCTTGCATTTTCCTCCCTTCTCTTTGGTCCCACACAAGTAGCTCCTCTCTGGGTTTTTGGCTGAAGTTTTTGTGATCTTCAGCCATGGTCGCCTGTCAGGATCACCCTGTGCAATAGCTTCTGAAGCAGCAGGTCTCTTCATTGCTGCTGCTGGCCTTCTCTTTGGCCCCTCAGCTGCTTTTCCAGGTACCATCCCCAAAGCCTGCTTGAAGCTTGGGTCATGTTTGGCTTCTTCCAAAGCATTGTTTTGGCCAACTCTCTTGTTCAAAAGCCTTGGGGGGCCTGGAGGTTTTGCTGAACAGCTCTTCTTCTGAGCTTCAGGTGTCTTTAATTCCGAAGGGAAGCCCTGTGAGTCCAGGGAAATATCACTGGTGTTGTGTTTTAGTTTCTTCTTGCTGGGCTCTCCCTTGTCCTTTTCTTCTTCTTCTCCCTTTGGCAAGGGTTCACCCTGGGATCCTTTGAGATCCACCTTTTCCAAGGTGTCTGCCAGCTTTTTGTACTCCAAGGCTGTCAACACCTGAACACACTTGCTATTGCAACCTTGCCTGGCCAACCTCCTGATATGGGACAGGAGGACACAAACTCTCTCTGAGCTTTGGTGGCTCCACACACCTCCATTGAATCTTCCTGTGTTAAGCATTGGCTTTTGAGTCAGGAGCCTGACCAAGGCATTCCTGAGTGGTTGTGGATGTACCTCACATGAGGGAGCAATTTCAAGAATGTCTTCCACCAAGGGTAGGTTGTGCATGAGCCCCTTTGGGTCCACAGCTGACTGGGTGCTCAGGGTTTCATAGCTCCCAAAATTCCTTATCAGGTCCTCATGCCTGAAAAAGATATCAAAGATGAGGCCAGTTTCTATCATTGGTTTGGCAAAGTGTCTTGCCCCACCCCTCGACATCCCTCTCTCAAGGGTTTCCTATATTGCTTCCCTTTCCCAAGGGTGCAAAAGTGGCTGTGCTATATACATGGGCTTGGGCAACAAAAGGCCACAAGACATGACAGTGCACAGGGATCTCCCAACAGCCCCTACAACTGCCCCCCAAAAAATCAAACCCAAAATCAATAGAAAATTCAAAACCCAATTCAATAACAAAATCAATAAACAAATCAATCAAACACACATATATATTCAAACAGAGACTTCACTTCCAAATCAAAAAAATCAATAAGCAAAATCAATTGAAAAAACCTAGGAGAATATTGATTGTAATCAATATCCGATGCTCAGGGTAAGTGTGCATGACTACCGGCGGCCTATAAAGCCTGAAACTTCTTCCACCGAGCTCCCATGCCGAGTCCCAGCCGAGGAGCTGCTTCCGTGCCGAGCGCCGTGAGACAGGCCGTGAGGAGCTGGTGGCCGAGCGGAACCAGGTGAACCAGGCCATGGCAGTCACCGGGACTGAGAAAAACGACCTGGTAAAAGGTATAAGCACAGCTCTCACGGGCCAACAAAAAGAAGAGTGTTCCACCGGCTAAAAATCTAAAACAAGAAAACAACCAAACGGTTTGAGGTTATGGGTTGGATTTGTTCCGACTCTCCTAGTCTCCTACTCACTCCTCCCTCCCTCTCTCACTTCTGCTGAGTTCATACGAATCAAAAAGGTGTTGAGACTTTGGGTGTCCTTTCTCAATGAGACGCCGAAGCCTTAACCTCATCGCCACCCCGTAAGCTCGTCATCCCACGATCCTTTGGACGGAGTTGGAGTTCGATAAGATTGGGGCGATGATCGGAGAACGATATCAACCATTCCGGTATCCCTGGGAGTCAAAGACTATAAAAAGAATTGGTCTTTAGGGGAACTGAAAGGGAACTTCCTTTACTCCAGCCAGTCAAAATATAGTCGAACTGGACTTCTAGGGCTATGACGAACCGCAACCGGAACCCGGTGAGAAACGATCCCCCTAATCACGGATGCGAGAACTTCACTCCGAAGATGCTTTCCAATTGAACCAATGAATTGGTATGAAACATTGGGTCTAGAGTCTAGATATGTCCAATTAATATTTTGCCGTTGGGGCCAAGGATTTCCAAGGATCAAGGACAAAATATGATGAATGAATATACCTCTCATCGCTCCACGATCTTCGAGCACAAGGCGTTCGCTTTTCACACGATTTCTGGTGATTTCACCCGTTGCCACAACCCCGCCGGAGTTAAGCACTGAACTTCCTTCCCCCGACGTGAGTGGAGTGGAAAAGGCTCCAACCTCTTCAAGCTGGAGCTCACTCACATGGCAGCTGGGTGAAAGCTCCAATGTTTCAGGGAGCTGTTCCTCCAGTAGCAGCCCCCTAGAAAAGTTCTGTAGCTAGGACCCTTCGTCCATGCCGCTACATCATAACGACTCACTGCCGTCCACCAATCAATACAAGCACACCTTCGCACCCCGTGTGCAGAGGTCACACGCCTCATTCACGCACCAGAACGCCGATGAACCGCCGATTCCGCGGTTCCCCGTTCGAGTCTGGAAGGTCCTGTGACCCAAACAGCTCGAACGGGGAAGAAGAACAAGCTGTGCGATCCAAGATTTGGCTTAAAAGTGAGGCCACAGCTTTCACACCCCGGGTGCAAGCATGAAGGATGTTCTGAAGGAAACGGATATTTTGGGTGCGGAGATGAATGAGTACATAGAGTTTATCACTGGTATTTGCCGCTCTTCTGCCAACAACCAATACTCAATACTCCACAACATGCTAGACAAGTTCATAAACCAAATGGACTGTTTGCGATTCTATTGTGGTCTAAAGTCGGTTGACTGTACAAGCCTCTGTGGCTAAAGAGCTGTTCCAACTGATGTCAGTGAAGTTGATGGGTTGCTCGACTTCCAGGGTGGCTCATCTGTGCCAATCTTCTTGAATCTGAATCAGATCGGATGGTCAAACCAGGCCCCCTAATGATAGCATTGCATGGTTGGTGTGATACGGCTGTCAATGCATGATCATCTGAATCTGTAATGAGTCAAAGCCCATGCAAGGCCTACGGTGGTTCATATATATATATAGATTACACGTCTTTTTTCTTAGCTAGTTGCCCATCCGAACCTTCTACATTGAGGACCATCCTGGCTCTGCTAGTTCCTTCGAAGCCAGCGGAGCCACGCGCTACCGAGCACCAAGAAGAGCTATAAACTCACCTCAGCAGTCAGGGAATCGGTCTGATGGAGGCATCCGGGACCCTCACGAACATCTGCTGTCCTGGTGTCAACTACATGGGTGCGGGTTCTGAAGGATTATGAGCCCTACATGGCTCAAATACCTACAATTGCGGGACCCTTCCAGGAGATTCTAAGAGGTATACTGCATAATATATAAATACAGTAATGTATAGCAAACTGATGCTGCAATATTTTGCAATACTCTGAATCCTGGCTGTGGAACCCAAAACCTGGTAGCACGTCCTAGTAGAGAGATGCTGAGCTAGCGCCGTCTTTGTTCAACCTGCAACAAACAGGCTAACACGCTCAGCATAGCGGCATACCCCATGTCAATCTATGACAATGGTTGGTCGGGGATATCCAAACTGGATGTGATGCTGGGTGGAAGAAGGACCAATTGATTGATCGCTTTTGGAGCGCAAAGTAAGGAAACAGGATCAACCGTGTTGTTTCTTCTCTCTCCTGAAGATCTTGCAGAATTGACATGATACAATTCCATCACCCCTGAAAAAAGAAGCTGCCTAAAGGCCTAAGGTTGTCAAGCCTTCGAGGACGGATGGTTTACGGAAGGACATGGAAGAACCATTGCCAAACATCTCCAGGCCAGGCAAAGGCCTCAGAGGATGCACTGTTGTATTTGTCAGCTGTCTCTATCTATATATCGCCCTCCCCCTCATCCATTTAGTTATATAGCATCAGGGATTTTCAAGAAGCTTTTGGCCGTAGACTACACCCAATGTCTCTGAACCTGTCTCCATCGTCTTCTTCCCTCACTCCCCTGATTCTCAAGCGACGCGGGTGGATCTGCAACGCCGTGTGCTTTTCGGCGTCTCAGGGGTGGTCTGTCGCATCAAGGCCATGGCGTCTCGCAGGTGCAATACCTTCACCTGAAGGTGAAGGGGGATAGACGTGTTCAGATGGGAGAGCTTTCCTTGGTCATGTTTCAGATTGGTTGAGATATAGATCAAGACCTGGAGCCCCGTTGACCTTCTGGATCCTTGTAGGTGGTCATGATCGGTCATGGTCGATGCTGTTCCTTTGACAGGCTGACCATGAAGAGGGCAGTTCTTGCTGACAGCAACAATGCGGTCGTCCAGTGCACAATAGGGAATCCCACGCCCGGCAAGTCAAGTCGGAATCCCACGGAATTAAATGACAGACTGCCAGGATGGGCTTCCAAAAACAGTGGATTGAGAGTAGATGGCACCGGCACCCCAAGATGTCTGTTGTATACGGGTCCATATAAACCACCCAACTTGGGGATTGTGCCATCTACTCTCAACCCGCTATAATGCTCAAGGACCTATTGTACAGAGTTTGGGCATTTTGAACACTCTTGGATTCCTCAGAACCAACGGTAAACGTCGACAAACCCACTTAGCATACTTGGCACACAAAATGATCAGAGAACCCAGTGGTCGGTCTGCCAACACTTCGCACCCTTATCTCTGTTGATTGCTTGGCCTGCAAGAATTACACAACTAGAATGATGGTAAATATCAACCACCTCGATAACTTTTCAAGCACCTCAATTGATCGACGATCATATGCCAGGGAGTGGCAAGGCCGGGTGTGCATTGGTTAAAGTAGGGAGACCTAACAAAGACACCCTGGAAGAAGACATACTATATAGACAACTATATAGACTAGACCAAAACCCATTACTTGGGAGTCTCCCAATTCAACAAAAACACACCAAAACTCCCAGGACTGGACTGGCCTCACTGGACAGCAGCTCCAGGACCTCATCATGTGACCCTTCTCGGTTCACCTCGCGCGCCAAGTCGATGGGCCGGCGTCCACTGGGCTCTGTGGCCTGCAGCGGGTCGCCGCCAGCCAGCAAGATGAGTCGCAGAAGCCGAGGGCAGCCTCGGGCGGAGACGAAGGTTTTCTGCATCGATTGGTAACAGTTGGGGCGTAACACGTTCATCACAAAAAGTGGTAGAACAATTGACTGGACATGGAGAGAACTGGGTTGGTAAAGGTTGGGAAGGTCATCTTGCAATCACTGACTTCGTGAGATGGAAGTTCTGAAGGCTGACCTGTGGATGCAAAGAAACTCTGGAGTCGATCCGGAAATTTTAGTCTTTAAGTTTATATTATATATTATTCTTGCAAGTGATGCAGTGATGCTGGGGATGTCAATGAGTATGTCAGCGTATGTGAGGATTTATTAAAACCAGCATGTATCCCCTCCAGACTGTTCTCTGCATACAGCATGGAAAGAAGCAACAAGATGCAACAAGGTGATGCCCACAGGTTCCGCACCTAAAATCGCTGCGCCATGGATGGGGTAGACCATCTCTTCAACCCCTTGAAAAGCAGCCGCGCGTGAGCTGTGTACCGTTGGGAAGTCGTTGGCGCGCAGGAAGTTCTTCAAATAGTCTTGCTGCTTCCTCGGCCCAACGACCACGCAAGGAAGTTGCATTGTCTCTGAGAAATCGCTGAGAAACCCTTGTGACAAGTGATGACACCTGCCTCAACGACACCTTGAAAACGAAGTAAGCTGTGCAATGCCTCCCCCATGTACCCAACATCCACCTTAGCCGCTTAATAGCAGCTTGGCCTTACTTGGGAAATTCCCGAAACTGAGTGACTGAGCACCAGTCACTCTTCCGAATTCACATGTGTGGAGCTGAGCCACGTGGGTCATTCATATTGCCCATCACAGCTGCGATGGATCCTGAAAGAACCTGGCATCCACATACCTCCCATGATGTGTGCATTTGTTGATTGTTTATTTTGTATTTTACTGTACAGTTACATATTAATAAAGAGAGAGGGAGAGCACAAACAAACACACACACACACACTGTACATAGTATACACTAGTATATTGCATGATATATTTAAAAATACAACATGTGAGTTCTTGCTACCCCGGCACCAAAAGGCAGTGAAACACTCTTTGGCCCAGTTTCTTTCGGTTCACTTCCCGCGCAGTGCCCTCGGGCGCGGAGGTGGCACGGAGCCGGCCAAGCCGAGTCATGGCGCTCTTCGGTGACGGTTTTCTTAGGCGTCGGCAGACGTTCCGTGGCTGCGGATTGGTTGGCACTTCCGTTGACTCAACATCGCCTGCAAGGCTTCCCAGGACTTCATCTTTAGAACTGTAGAGCTCCCACGACTTCATATATATATATACACAGTATATGCAGCTGTCTTTTTGATGTCTTTTGGTTGCTGGTTTTGGACAGGGCTTGTTTGCGTCAGCTCACGATCTTCGAGAGCTGCCCGACACCCAAAGAGGCCTCCACTGAGCTTCTTCAAGCCCAGGACAACAATGTGAGGAGACTATAATATCACGGTCTAGAAGTGGCCCCATGCCACCGAAAACGCACGCCCGAGCGTGTGGACAAAAAACTGAGACATTCTAGAATGGAACTGCCTGAGGTAGAACAGCATGGTGAAGCTGTTGTTCCATTTCGCGTGATTAGATGTGATTAGTCTTCTTCTTTTTGCTTGCTCACCCCGGCATCCCCGCTCGTCCAATGAACGATTGCGGCTGCGGCCACAAAACGGTTGCATCCACAAAACGGTTGGTTTCACCCCTTCGGCGATTCCCAGCGTTTTGTCTTCGGCATCGCGTCACTGAGACGCTGCCAATTTCAGCTCCAACAGGAGTCTAACGACCGTTGGAAGATGTCATGGACATGACTGCTCCAAAAAGGCGGTCGGAATGTTCAACTCCTCAGCGTTGCATCATGATTCTGAATCAGACATTCTGAACGCTGAGGAAAAACACGGGTATTTGGGTGAGGTCATGTCCTGGAAAATCTCATCATTAACAGATGGGTGCCAAGGGCAGAGGCGGATTCAATGGGCGAGTCAGGAAGAGCATTGGGTAGTTAAAAGAGTTCCACAAGGTTCTGGTTGATCTGTCATATCGCCCGGGTGGTAGCCTGGTAGTTGATGTGTTCGACCAACAATCTAGTCAGTCCGTCAATCCCCTGCTGCGGGTTTAAGCTCAATCGTGCTTGAGTAGGACAATCACTCACACTATCTAGCACTTCTAAACCAAGGTTCCGAGGGTTCTGGGCGAGATGCTACGAGGTTCCACGGACATTGGAGGGTTAAAGCGAAGGAAAATGGTTGGGGTGGGTTTCACCTGAGGATATCATTGGAGCCCTAGGGGTGCTGTCACTTGCTCTTCCATTCTGCCCCTCAGAAACCTGGCCTCAGCTACTCAGCTTGGCTCTACTGGTCGCCTCCTCAGAGGCTCAGCTTCGAGGAGCTGCTAAGCTTTGACAAACTGCTCAGCTTTGAGGAGCTGCTGTCCTGACAAGGCAGGTGCATCAGCCCAATGAGTTTCACAGATGTGAAAGACATGAAAATGAAACCGTGGCACCACCCTTTGTCCATCTGCGGGAAAACTTCTAGTTCGGTAGCGGGGAAAAATAAGACGCACTCGCGTTTCTATTCGTCTCATCTCCGTGTTTCAATATCAAAACAAAGCAGTACTATATGTATATATATATATGTGTGTGTGTGAGAAACAAAATGTGGACAAAGGTCCTAGAGTGCCCCGCCATCATCGGTCTTGCATAGGGTCAGCAGCTAGCTGGGTGGCACCAACAATGGCATCCTAGTATGAAGGCAATAATAATTCACATACCTGATTCACTTGATCTGCAAACTTTTTGACCCGACAATTATAAAAAACCCATGAAATAAATAACAGCTGAAATCGCGGGGTTTGCAAACGGCAAGAGCCTTCCAGTGGCGCAAAATGCACATTCAGGTTCTAAGTTGATTGCTTGGCTCCACTCCGTTGAGTGGCATGTGCGATTCTGCAATGCCTGATGTATTTTATGGATTGAAAAAACTGAAACGGAGGAATGAAAGGCCTTTTGGAAGGCTACGATGCAATCGTCGCACATGACTTTATTGTTAATGTTGCAACTGCAACCATGTTCTGCATCACGAACTCACCAAAAAGACTATCCACACAAAGTGCAAACACCATTAAGTTTCCAGGCTCGATAACACTTCGTTCGCAGCTTCAGCCTAGCCAAAGGCTGGCTTTGGCAATTTGGAACTCATTTTTTAACAACATGTGGCAGCATCTGGTGGTTGTGTGAGTTTCCGTCTGGATTCAAAGCCCGGCAACCAGGACCCTCCAACAACATCAAAACAAATCGGGATCCCCATCGACCGAAAACCAACAACGCGCCTGCAGGTGGTCACATGGCTTCATCAAAACTCACCATCCACCAGCACCCGAAACCTGCACCGGTCCAATTGAGACCTACCCAACAACCCTCCAAAAACTTCGACGAGACCTGGCAGCGTCGAGCGGCGCGTGAGCCCTGCGAGGCGAAGTCCCGACTTCGCCGCACGTCCCGTTCATCCCTGGGCGGTGGGTGGTCGGGTGGAAGCACCGGTGGCGCAAAGTGCCAAATGGTTCATAGTTGGCACTGGAGAAAACGACCTGAATTGCTATAGCCTTAAAGGATTTGCAACTTAAGTAGAATAAGATGTTTGTTTGATTTTTTTTGGGGGGAGGGATGGTTTTCATTCAACTAAGTGTTGTGTCATTGTTAGGTTGTTAAAGGATCTTGTCCTGCACTTGGCGCAATGGGCAATGAGGCCACAGAATGGAGCAATTCCCGCAAAGCATACTCTGATAGACTTCAAAAAGGTCGACTCCCGACATGTGATTTTTCCCGGAACATCCAACCTTCGAGTGGCACTTCTTCCTACTTTTTGACCTGCACTTTTTGGAGTTCATAATTCATCTAGAGAGTTGCATGAAGGACGGGGAAACATTTGAGGCTCACGCGCGCTCCTATGCGCTCCTATGCACCGTGAAAGGGCTCTGTGCACTTCTTTCCCTGTTGGAATCCCAACGGAAGCAACCTGCCTTGTGGCAAAATGCACCAAGGTAAGGACAGCTGGTTGCGATCTCCTTCTTGCCTTCTACGTTCTTCCGGACAGTCTGAGCTCTTCTTGCATCATGTTCGTTCTCTTCAAGAAATAGTACGGACATAGTAGGACCATATCAAACCCGACACGTACCGCCCCGGTCGTCCTTCCACCGGGCGTCGATCGGTGGGACACCGAGGCACTGAAGTTGACGGAGGATTTCCAGGACCTCGGAGTGAGACTCATCAAAGTGAGCTTCTTCCACCAGATCCAAGGCCTGGCACCCAAAACGGTGACCCATTCGGCTCATTCTTTTTGGCGGGGGGGTGGGGGTGAGGCCAAGCTCTGAGGTGTAAGGCTGGAGGGAAGCTGGTTGAAACAGTTGGTCCGATGAAGGCAGGTGTTGAGGAGAATTCCAAGTCAGGGATTGAGGGGGGAGATGCCAAGAAGAAGCGCTTGACGAGCGTTTTCACGTGTTTTCAAGTATGGTCTTTGGATGGCAAAGGCTACGAGTCTTCGTGCAAACTATACAAGAAAAACGGCTCTTTTGGTGCTGATTCTATAGTTGCTTAGCTATCCCTCCGCCCCTTAGCATCATGCATCATGCCCCCTCAAAAGGCCATTTCCTGCACTCAGGTAATGTTCAGTTTCGATTTCTTCCACCTGGAGCAGTTTACTTCAACTATCTTGCGAGATCAAGTTTGCCTCAAGGGCTGGGCTAGCAATGTTTCTTCACACAGCTTGGCATCCAAATTGGTGCGTCGGAACTTTCCAAAGCCTTGCGGCCAAAGGAGGTCTTCTGGTCTGGATCCGCGCCAGCGCCCAGCATCAATTGCAGAAGCCGTGGGCAACCGTTCAGGGCTGCAGCATGGATGGGATAAACCACCTCAACGACAACCATCAGGATTTTACCGCATGATGGTATCATTGAAAAAAATCATCTAACTTTCAAGGTCTTCAAACAGGTCTTATTATACAGTAACATCACAGGGTCATGTAGTTCAGCCTTGGGCCTCGATTGGTTTACATACAGCTCTTAATCGCAAGCATCCTCAAAAAGGGGTGGGCCATGTGCCACCAAACCGTGTTTTGTCACAGATTTGGGGTTCTAGGATGTTCAAGATTCTATGTAGTGTGCAGCCAGCAGTGCTTTGTGTCGTTGAAGCAATGACATTAATTATTGCATGAATCTGACACTCTCGCCGCTCACCAAATTTTATTGCACCTCCTCTCATCTTTTGCTTCCAGGTTCCACAGGTTCAAACTCCCCTGCCTGATTGGCGGCTCCTACAACCCAAGTGACCGTTGTATCTACTTCACTTCTTGCATAGTTCTTCTACCAAAACGGAAGTCATTCAGCTTCCACGGTCATCAGTCGCCTCCCGGCGCCCTGCGCAACCCAAGAAGGCTGCACGAGGGAAGTGCAAGCCCTTGAAGTCGTTCACGAGCAAAAAAGCCTCCAAATTTGCAGCATCCATCCTGTCCAAGCTGATTGGAGAGTGCAAGACTTGTCCATGCGAACACGATCTGATGCTCGTGATTGGATCTTGACAGATTAAGGGTGTTGCATGTTTTTGTGCTGCATCTATTGGTATCCAGATTGTCAAATAGCGTCCATGGTTCAGCCTGTGCACTCTGCATGTTACGTGTTATAAATATATAAATTCATTCGGCACTCCCTACTACACAACACTCCCTCATGCTCTTCATTCACTCGTGACTCACTGAATATCAACCACCCCAAACTTGACATTGCCACCAAGTTTCAGCCCTCTGCTCAAAAAAAGGCGCACCGAACCAGCGCAAGCCGCACGATCGGATGTGCTCAAACCCTGCAGGGAGTCGCGACTCGTGAGTCGCAGCGCTTGGACCAAAACCCAGCGTCGGATCTGATTGGCACCTGAGAGGCTACACAAATCTTGAGGTTTCAGAATGACAACCCCCGAGACATGATATGGTAGGGCCTTCCTTGTAATGGGACACCCTGAGGTGAGCTCAGGTTCTATAGGTCTGTGATAATGTGATATTGTAATCCACTCGGAGCATGGTCTAACGAGAGAAAAGCTTCAATTCCTCGAGCTATGATGCACTCACGTTCAAAAATGCGACCAACAAACTACGTAACGCTATACAGAACATACAACGCTAGTCCGATATTTTATGCTGACATCTATGCATTCAAAAAACATATTGGACGATTACGTTGGTTTTGCATTGCCTACCCAGAAGCAAACACAACCTCTGCAGGGCAACACATATCCTCCAACAAAGCTGTTTGGGGGGTTGCGGGAAAATCCTAAAATCTCGGCATCCCGGCTAACTCCTCAATGTCCTTCTCCTGGTTTCTCTCCCATATGGGAACCTGAGCGAATGGTTTGGCTTGCAAACGCGTTGCGCTCAACTGGAGGTGCGGTCGGATTAGCGGTCAATGCTTTGTGAAAGAGTTTGGCCACATTGAAAAGTTGCCAAAGTGGTAATTAAAAAGGCCTATGGCCTATACGTATAATAGATTGTGCATTCAGAGTGATGGGAAAGAACTGAAAAGGTCGGGTGAAGGCTGGACCCCGCCCGATTGACCTTGTTCGACCCGCGGGGTGCTTGGCAGAGCTCGATCGAACTTCGATCTCGGCACTTTTGGGGTGAAAAGAACACCTGGACACAAGTGACCTATAGTAGGACATCACTGACATCACCATCAACCAATCTGGCGGTTTTCAGAAATCGCACAGGGGCTATGTTTCTGCTCTGCGCATTGGGTTCTTTGACAGCAAACATTTAAGATCGCCGCGGGGTTAAAGAGATGCCCGAGAAAGGGATCTATCGATGTCAAAGGGCTTCCATGACCATCAAAAAAATCCAGTACCTCCACACACACGCGGGCGATTTCCAATGGTTGATGTTGTTGCGTCACCAGCACCACCCACCACCCACCACTACGACTATGACTACGACTGCTGCTACTGCTTCTGCTACCGCCAGTGCTAGTGTGTACACATGTGTGTGTGCTCTGCACTGGTAATGGTTGGCTTGTTGTGTTCAGGTGGTCAAGCAAGCAAACAACAGCGGGTCTCAAGTCTCTGTTGTACCCGCTTTGGAGAAAATGGAGTCAACGCAAGAAGATGTGTATTGACGAGGCTGCAGCATTTCTTTTCCTTTGTCTTTGTTGTTCTTTGGCAGCTGTTGGCCGAGACAAGGCTGGCTCACCTGATCCCTAAAGGTTCTGATGAAGGCACCGATGAACGAACCACGAAGCTACTCCCGAACATATGATACACCCTAGCCTTCCTTTTAGTAGTATGTAGGTCACTATGCCCCCCAATATGTCTTCGACAACAAATTCAGGTCCCTCTCGAAGGAGCTGTCCAAACGGATTCCGGGTGCAGATGTCTGGGAGCCCCAGGCGCATCGCTGGTAGGCCAGTTCCTGAGCGATTTCGCAGTCCCCGTCCGATGCGGCGCCGGGGCGCCCGCCATCGACCGCCATGAGGGTAGACATGAAACGGCGCCGGTGGGCTGCGCCGCCAGCGGGTGTCCTAGACAGGCTTGAAGTGCATTCCCTGCATGAGATAAAATTGGCTAAGTCCCAAAATAGCTGGCTCCCAAATTTAGGAACATCGCTAGCAAGATGTTGGAGGAAGTTAGTAAGATAACCAAAAAACACATTATTAAACTAAATATTATAGACTCTTTGGGTCTCGCTTTGCCTCCATGGGAGTCCTTGTTCCGGCAACCTCTCACATGATCTTGACGTCAGTTCCGGAAACCATGGCTCACGTGGGCTCACACTAGTCACGATGGCCATGGCTTGGCATGAAGCATTTGCAATATTGGGATCGTGGCCCATGAACTGTCGCACGATCCTCCCTAATTGATCCCACCCTCATGGCGTAGAACCTTTTGCCGCCAAACCCCGTACAAAGCCCACGCGGTTCGTGGAGCAGCCACGCGTCCAATTCCTCAGCCGAACAACTGATCTCGAGCGGTGCAACGCCTGCGCAGCAGCTGCACAGCAGCGTTTCGGCACTGAGCAGGGCAGGGCAGGGCAGCTCTTTGTTCGTGTTGGGCTGTGTCCAGAACCGGTGTTTCAAAGGAGAACGAGGCGGTCACTCCGGAAGCATGCCGTGTAGGGAGCCTATATAGTCAAAAATGGGACAAAGGGTTCCCATGGGAAAACCTCCAAGCTTGGTGGGTCCAAAGATTATTCTGAGAATCTGCGGTGTGCTGTTGACATGCGAACACCCTGTTAGCAGCCAACATCGGACGCAAAAAACAACAAGGTTTGCTCAAGTTTATGAACCCGTGAACAGGAGATAGGCGTGGATGTTTCTTTTTAAGTATATTCATGTATATTCAAATTGAGTTCCATTCATTTCGTCAACCCACACCCCCCGCCTCCTTGTTGGACGGCTTGCAAAATCTCCAGACCCTGCTCCTGCAACTGGGGAACTCTCACTGGCCCAGCCCCAAAGGGTAGGTCGATTTAGCAAATCGAAGGATTCCCGCAAACGTGCCAAAAGGACCCCAACAACCCTGTTGTGACATGAAGGCTAATATAGAACTGACCACAGGTGCAGGGCAAATCCGATATCATCAGGCCATTTGAAGGAGGGCATTGGTGCTTAACGAGGGATTTGCTCCACCTTCAGCCAAGATGATTTAGGTCTTGGATCTTTGGTCTGTCATACTGTCATACGTCCAACAAGGGCATCGCTACTAGTGACAAGGGCATCGCTACTAGGAGCAAGGATGCTACTATGTAGCTCCTGGCCTTGCTACTAGTAGCAAGAAGCTACTAGTAACAAGGGCATACATCTGGCCAGGAAAACAACCTCACACCTTGGAGCTGTCATGATGGTTTAACCAAACGTGGAGATGGAAGAACGATACAGGCTTCCAGGCTGGCTTCTCGGCGTCTGCAATACCTGGGCAGGTATGCGCTACTGAGCTTCGAGAAGCTGGCAAGCTGGCTACATGGCACTGTGAAAGACCGATCTGGCAGGTGTTTTCTGGGGTTGTCACATACGTAGTCCTCGGGATTCGAAGAGACCCAAGTTGGGCTACCCAAGTCGGGTGCCGACTCGCGGGGTGCTCCGTCCTGCGTGCGCGCACACTTCATCAAGGCCGCCGCGATGGGAGCCTGAAGAAGCGAAAGGCCAGCGAGGTCAGCCAGCGTTCCGAGGTCAGCCAGTGAGCTCGGAGCTCCGATTCACCACAAAAAACACCGGAGAATACAGGACTCCACCGCTTTTCAGCTTTTCATTCGTACATGAATCCTCCCAAAAGATTGATCAATTGGACTTGGGCAGGATCGAAAACGATGTATGGCTACATCTTCCAGAACTACAAAACTCATAGGACGAGTGAGTGGAAATTCCGCCAGGAGCAATTTCTGGGGACACCTGGAGAACACCACGTCGTGTTTTGGGTCTTTTTTGCAGATCTTTATTGTGTCCTCCCGTGTGCTTCCAATACTTTCCTCACATATCCATGAGTCGTTTTTCCATTGGCCATTTGGAACCACTTGCCCAATAGGGATGGGACAGCACAGAATCCCAGCCCTCCCTTTCCCACCAGCTTCAGTGAACCCCACTGGGACCCCAACGATCCGCTGGCCAGTCGTCACCTGTGCCTGAAATGGCCGAGATGCTTGGGCTGAAAGGTTTATAGCATGCCAGGGTCCTAAAGCCAATCTGACACTCCGTTTGGTTCATCTTTGTGTTGGACTTTTAAATGTCGATTGATTTCTATACAATCTGAGACTTGGCTTCACAACTGGCAGGTTCAGTCCGCAAGCCAGGGCCAGCTGTCGTAACAGGATCTGTCGACGTGATTGCCTCAGTCGCCCCCTCGGCTTGGAGCGCCTGCGACTTCTCAGAGCTTTCATTGGGCATCTCCGCATCGATCGTCCTGGCGAAGTCTCCATGACGAAGTCTGCCGACGGTCAACCAACGGTCAATCCCACCAAGGTTGACTTCAAATGACCACAGTGTCCGAGATGTTCCACCGACGAAACAAACAGATTCCTCAGCAGATTCTACAACAAGCGATGTTTTGGAAGGTCCCAAGTCCCATCTTCCATTCATGTTCTACTCATCTTTCCCACACCACCACCTGTGCGCCCGGGCATGCGGCCAAGTTCTCTTGCTCGGAGAAGCCCAAATCGAAAAGGCAAACCTGGGACACCCAGCCGTGTTCTCACGCTTCGAATGATCTGTGATCCATACCTAGGACCCAGCTGTGGGTCAAAACCTCTTTTTCCCTTCTCCATTATCTCCATTGGTTTGATCTCTTGCTGGGACCACCGCACCCACTGCCCCCAAAGCAAAACAGCTTCTTGAGACCCTGCTGCGGTGCTGCCAGTCTAGTCGTGTGCTAGTCGTGCAAGACTCACTGGCACGACTGGCTCTCAAGCCATGTGACGTTGGTCATTCCTCGCTGTTTCAAAAGCCATTTGGCGGTTAGTGGTTACAAAGACTTTCAAAGACGTGAACATTCTAGTTTCAAAGACCAAAGACCTTACGTCTTACGTCCCTCTTTCTGGTGAAGTTCTCATCTGAGTCCTCGAGGCCAAGTGCATCGAAAAAACAAGGGAACACACCTTAGGATGGCGCCCCCAAAAGAGCAAATCATCCTAAGGATGACTTTGGACCAAAGGATGGTCTGGTCTGATGCTCCAGCATATATACAAAAAGTCTATTATATAATTGGGTATATCCCATTGCCGGTAACAGTGGATGATGATGATGATTGGCAAAGGCCTTTCGCCAAATAGTGAGAATCGTTCACCGACTGCTACTGGTAATGGGCTACACCCTATCTATAGAAGTGTTCCAAGTTACGTTCCGTGGTTGAGAACGACGGATGATCTGTTTCGGCAATGAAAGGTTGGCAGCCACAAGGCACTCTACTCCTCTTTCACGTTTGATTGTTGAATTTAATCAATAAGCTTCATTAGACATGTCTGCTTGGCCTCAAGAGAGGCCCTCCGTAGCTGGGCTGCGCTCATCTGTGGCCCCCAGCGAACCCCTGCGCAGGTCGACCCCCCCGACTGCGCAGGTCTGAAAACCCCAGCTGGAGCCAGCAAGTGATGGGCAAAACTGGTTGAAGCATCTTGAACCTGTCCATTCCCATCACATTGGCTTGAAATAGAGTCTGCTGGATTATGTTTGAAATATGTTGAAATGGTAGTCTGGAATAGAATCAATGGTGGCAACGGACAGCCCCAAAATGATGCGCAGGGCATCTGTATGTGTGGGATTCGAAGCGTGCATCAGTATAAGAACTTGCTGGTTGGTTTTTGGTATTTGTTTGTTTGTGCTAATTAAGTTCTCCTGAAGCTTTGAAGGCCCAGGTGGTTTCAGGGCACTTGCCCTAAAGCACCCCGAGGAGCCTCCAAAAATACTGCTGAGATAAGTTGAAGGCTAAATGGAGGGTGTGTGGAGAAAGTGGGTCAGCAAAAATCGCTTATACGAATGCATCAAAAATACCTTCCACGGAGTTCTGCGAAAGTTTTCTGGGATTTCGTTGCAGTCAGTTCTCCTACTGGCCCACCATTCCACGAACTGTCCACGAATAGCCTTGGGTTCTACGAATGTCCCGCGCCTTCCACGATGTTAGTAGAATAGGTTTTTGCAAACCCCTTTACCCTTCCGTTTGCCTCTGATACGTGATCCACACATGCACCTCCCACGCAAACCTGGCGCTTCTGTTCAACATGACATACCCATCGGAGTGTGAACTGGGTGCGTCTAGGGTCGAAGGGGCAATGAAATGACCCATTGAATTTAAAGAAACATAAATGATTGTTAAGTTGCTTTTATTGATAGGTCCTGCTGAGCTCTCCGTCCTGCTGAGCAATCTCAACATTCTTTTTTCATGGCGTCCGAGGCACGTTCTCCGAGGCACGTGGGATGAAACAAATCCCTACGTTCTCGTTCATGTGGCCCCTTTTCTTTCGCACATTCAGTGGCGTCATTGTGTCATCCGACCTTGCAGCAAAGAAGCCCGTATTATATTTGTGAGCCAGCGGGGGGGATGTAAACCTACCAGAAACTTCAAGTTGACAATGGAGTTGACTAATGGCTTGCGTGCAAGTCAAAGGTATATAAATATATATATATAAGGTTAACAATGGTTAATAGTTAATATGCAAGTCAGTCAAAAGCATATGAATGCGCAGTCACTAGCCTGGGTTCCAAATGAGGGATTGTCGACATGGACGATTAGTGCATTTCACACTGGTGAAGTAGTTTGAGTTAGAAAGTCCCCCTGCGTGGTGCCTTTCCTAATTCAATTCTTTGCATCCTACACCTACAGAGCACTTTGCTACACCTAACAGTACCAGGTCGCTCAGTGCCCGGCTAGAAGCCACGGCCCCAGGGCGACATCTTCCACGCGAAGATCACGCTGGTGAGGAGCACCAGAACTCCCGACTCAGCGTGGAAGACGAGAACTCCAAAGAAGTGAGAAGTAGATGACATGCAAGTAGATGACTGAGTGAGAGAGTAAGAACCCCAATATGGGAACATACATAGCTACTTGACGGAGGTCAGTGGAGGTATGTCTGGGTTCGTAGTGGAGTGAGAAGAATATATTTGGGGGAATCTGTTGTAACAACTCTACGGTATCTTTCTCTCCTCTCCGTCCCTGGCGTTCAGATCGAGATCTGCCCCAGCTAGGTGTAGTAACAACCATAGTGTTTCTTCATGTTTCTTCAGTTGGCGTGATGTGTTCTAGATGTATCATGCCTTCCGCGCCTTATAGTTTGTCAGGAATTGGCAAAAAACCGCTTGACAACCAGGTGTTCAAACCTGAGATCCTCCCAACGACTAGGCTGCTGCAAGCAAGAAGCTTCAGCTTTGCTAACCCCCGAACCCTTGCAAATACCGAACAAATTTAAACTCTCCTCAGGTAGGGTCCTAACTAGGACAGTTTGATGCTGGCGTCTTGAAAGAAGTTTTTTGCAGTCTGAACTGCGGCCGATGTGTGTGTGCATATATTGATACAAATGCACAGTATTATCAGTATTCGTGTATATGTATATTTAAATATATCGAGATAGCTTGAGGATTTGCTTAAAGTTCAGAATCTCCAACACCCATGTCCTTCAGCTGTCCTTGGAGCCTCTTGAGATCCGCCTTCCTTCTTCATGCCGCTAGCTACCAATGTTGGCATGTTTGGTGGATGAACACTGGACAGGATCCTCTAAAGCCCCCTGGGGCGCTCCACACCATTCGTCACCGGACGAATCCTATGGCGCGCCATGAGAAAGCCCACAACGCTCCACGTCACAACGTGTCCCAGTCAGACTGACGCTGATGAGCCCTGGACCCACCCGTCCGTTCTGGTCACAAGGTCCAGTTTCAGGATCTATCCCAGTCACCAAGATCAAGAAATAATTCCACTCCGACGGGCTCAGGAAATTCTTGCCCTGGCCTGTGCGCAATGCGGAACAATGCCGGGCCCGCAGCGCTACGTGCGGTACGGGACACTCAGGTCACCGCCTATATAAGACATCCAAGGAGGAGAATCCCAGGACCCTGTTCATTGAATTGGACGGCAACTTGTTGATGATCCGAATGGATGTCAGGAATCTGCATCGTCTTCCAACCAAAAAAAGGATCTTATGTTGAGATTTTCTTTATAGCACTCCCTGCAGGGAAGTGATTCATTCTTCCACTTACTATGCAGTAGGCACTCGACATCCGTCCAGGTCCATTCCGCGCAGCTCCTTCGACTAGTGACAGTGGTCTGACTTCACATCAGCCGCAATCTCGCTTGTTGGAAACTGGTTGTGTTTCATGTTGGTGGGTGATCCCTAGCTAGGCCCTAGCAGCTCTAGCATCTGATGAATGAAAAAGGTTATATATCCGTTTTTGGTTGACCTGACCTATGCTGAAGAGGAACAATTTACAAATTGTAAATAAGATCTGCCGCAAGGGCAACGGAAGTGGTTGAGACGCAAGTGTTTCGCACCTTACGATCAGAGCAGTTTTTTTGCACACTGACTCTGCCAACATCTGGGTTTGTCCGAGCGAATTACATGGAAAGCCTGCTGTAAACAAACCTGAGGTAGGTGTTCCATGGTGTTTCATGGTCTTCCCTTCGTTCGAGAGTCGGGAAACGCACAAAAAATGTGAAAACCCATCCCTTAAAATGCCGCCCACCATAAGCCTTGTCGCGGTCGGAAGCCGACGGCCGACGTTCTCCGCCTTCGGCTCCGGCACGGTTCTCCCAAAAGGCCCACCAGGAGGGCGTCGCGGCCTCCTGCGAGTCGGACGTGTCATGTGGATTCGATTCTCCGGCTGTGGGTCGAAAGACACATCAAAATAGTTTGTGCTCATATGTGAATTACTCTTTTTGTCTTACCATCATATTTGTTTACTTTTGTCTTGCCAATATTTTTAGAAGCTATATATAACGTTGTTAATAATTTCCTCTGTGTTCATGCTTTGTATCATTATCCATGTCTTTGCACACCTTTATGTAACTTGATATGTCTATGCATTACTGTTTTCTTATTATGTGTATTAATATTATTATTGCATGTTCCTTTACATTCTATGTTTTATTGTGTTCTTAATAGTTTCTGATTGCATTATCTTGTGCAATTTAAAAAATATTATGCATGGCTATTAACATTACCTTGGTGTTCTATTCCAAATGATGCAGTGAATATTATGATGAACATATAACTTATGTCACATATGTCTATATATTCTTTCCGGCAGTTTACCCGCTATAAGCTAGTTTTCAATATATGTCGTAAATTAGGTTTGACTGTTAAGATTCTTAATTCATATTAGAAATATTCTATCTTCCTTTCGGGCACTCAGGTTCTTAATGCTGTATCTTATGGTTCATCATCATCATTTATACTATTCACTTACAGCTTACGATTTCTTCTCCGCGGTCCCTTGAACATAAATAATAAAATCAATATTCAAATTCAAGGGTCACAGCTACAACTTTATATTCAAAACAGAAAGGGACAAAACAAACATGAACAAACATAAGCTGAGTCTGAGTTTAACTTATTTCATCTTTAAGGATTAGTGAGGGTTTACTGCCAAGACTCTAAGACAGAAATTTAATGATCTTGCCCTTCATGTCTATGTATATGTTCTATCTCTCCCAATATTGACAATGAAGAATCACCAGGCACTCACCCGACCGGGCAGGAGGGTGGAATAAGGTCGTTGGCAACATGGTGGAACCAGAGCTCCAAGTGATTGGCCCATGCCCATATTTGCAAAGGTGATGTGTGCTCAATACACTGCCACCGACTTCTGAGCAAAGGCATATGTTTTTCCAGAATTGCTTTTCCAGAATGTTTCTCATATATATATATATATGTAATATGTATGTGCTTGGACAGGGTGCATCACATGGCAGGGACCATTGATAGCTTTCCGGCACCTGCCATCGGCACTCGGCTTTCCAGAACCAACTCCTTCTTGACTTTCTTGGCAGGAGCTTTCGCCTTCCTGGGGGTCTCCTTCACCTCGGAATTCGCCCAGTTGGGTGGCAAGGAGGCAGATATTATAGGCACACCTTGGCCCCTCTGCAAAACTGGACCAGTCAAATCTGCCATCGCAGTCATGTTTCACGCATGAACACCTAGGCACTCGAGTGAGGGATTATCTATAAAGAAAAAAGAAAGAACAATTTAGAGGATCCACACAAACACAATCAAACACAACTTGCTGTCTTGTTTTTGGTGCGTTGCTGTTTTTGTTTTGATGCGTCTGCTCTGCACTGTCTGCTGCACTGGACCAAGCCAACAATCCACGCATTTTCTTATCCAATCCCCTTCTCCCCGGCGGCACCTGCTGCAGCCGCTTTTGGAACGCTGCCTCGTAATCCGATGCGCCCTCCGTTGCACCGCCCGGTGGGGTGGCGAAGGTCGGAGAGCAGCGCAGTGAGAAACGGCTGAGCAGCACAGTGAGTGCAAGCCATGCCCGGCAGCGCGAGCCCACACGCCCCATGATGGAGGGCCGCCAGCTGCGTGGTGGGCAAGCTCTCACGGTCTCACGTGTGGGTCTGGAGTCTGGGTGGCTTGGCTCAAGTTGGCTTGGTGGTTTAAACTGGGAGGTCGAACTCTTTGGGACATTGTTGTTGGAGTTGTATACCTTATTGTCTCAAGCTGTGTCAGCTCGTCTTCTTCTTACACTGATCATAGCTGGTTTCAGAAGGACCTCATCTCACATCAACTTGGCGACTGGATACCCGGGCCATAAGCAGCTTTGTGGCCAGCAAATGGAAGAAATATATGTATATACTGTATATTACTATATATAGTAATAACTGCGTGTTTGCTTGCTAGGGGTGGCGGTGACGCAAAGGTGCCTCAAGCTGAACACATTGACACAATCCATGTACAGCTTGAGGGTCTGCTCAACAAAGCCATTGACAAAAACTGTCCCATACCAAACTTCGAACGGCTCTTAGAGGCCCCAGCAAGTGCATGTCTCCCATTAACACCAATAGTTTATAGGTGACCAAGCAGGACCAAGCTCTCTACAATCTAAGTTCATATGAGCATTTTGATTGGCTGGTTGTCTACCTTCTTTCTTCGGCACCACTCACCTTATATAAATCTCTTGTCGACAGTCTCTTGGACTGTCTCCTCTGAGTGCGGCAAATCTCGGAGGTCGGCTTTTCGCATCCTCTTCGGCACACCGTCCGTCGGCGGATTCATCCTCCGGTCGGACCGAGCGGACGCTGAAGCTCACCCTGGCCTCGTCGCGCTAGGCGAGGCGTGGGGGAAACACGGGTTTTCACACCAGGCCCGGGATCTTCCACGAAAGGTGCACGATCTGTTCATACGAGGCAGTCTGCTTGTTGGACATGGGAAGTTCTGCTTGTTTCAAAGGGAGTGCAAAGATTTTCCGCCTTTCAGTCATCGCTCGGTGATGGTTCCATCACAAGACCTGCGCTTATCGTGTCAACACCCCACAATTTTGGCATCTGCAGCTACATGACGCTCGTGACTCATATCTATTGAATATATTGACAATTAAAACTCATTGTCTGGAAATTGACAGCGGCCGTGATTCACTTGGCAGTTATAGCCATTGAATGTCGGGAAGACATGCCCAGGCCCCAATGTCACGAGTTGTTTTGAAAGATCGTCCAACCCTAGCGGTTGATTGCGCTGCTTGCCACTAGTTGCCTACTCCAAGCAGCAAAGCACCTCCCCACCTCCCACCCGCACGAGCTTTGGGCGAAGGCACTCGTGTCACCAGGTAGCGGAGATGCTCTGGAAGCTCCTCCTCATCTTCACCAGCCTTAAGGTGTGCACGCACGCGTTCGCATGCTCAGTCTTGACCACCCGAAGAGCAACTGCTTGGTGGAGTTGGTGGTCTAAGCAGGCTGGAATCTTCCAGCGTGACCCGGCGAAACCCTGGCCAAGGTTTACAAAGCCTTGCCTTGCCAAGGCTGTCTCTTCCACGCAAATTTGGGTCCCCAGGTCACAGCTCCTTACACAAGAGTACACAGGTCTCTCCTAAGTCTGAACCACCAGCCAGCCAAGGAGGCTAGTCATCCAGAAAAGCTCTCTTTTGGCTATATGGGTGATGCTATCGGCCAGCTACAGTAGTGGCTCCCCTTGCATGTTGGCTCCTGGAGAGTGAGTTCCCACGTGTATAAATCCACCGGAGGAAGCTTGTCTGGACCCAATGACAATATCATACGATAATACTGTTGAAACATATGCAGTATTATGATATGGGAAAAGTATATATAAAGTGTACAAAAGTGTGTTTGTGTAAGATCGTGTTTTGGAATCAAACTACGATATCAACACCACGGGTTCATCACATCTATTCCTGCAAGCTTTCTCGTTACACCGCCACTGCAACGCTTCTTCACCTCACAATCTACTGCGCAATCACGTATGGTGCCGAGTGCCCTGCCTGCAACCAAGGCCTGTAAGCCCAATCAAACCTGCGACGGCTGGGAGCTGTGTAAGATTTGTTGGCTGAGCTCAGCCAGCTGACCGTTTTCTTCTGCAATCCAAACAATTGACCATGAGAGACTTGGAGAACCTTGCCCCCCTTGCGCCAATTCCGTGTTGTAAGCTGCTATTGCACTCTGACGAACACATCACATGGAAGCCTTGGAAGACGACTTTCCTTTACAACACCGGGAGGTGCCATCCACGGGCTCCGTGAGTCCCAACGGTCCTGGGGTCCCACGACTGGGACGTGGCCGGGCGGAAGGAGCGGCCCTTGAGCTGCAGCTTGGGCGGTACAAAGATGCTGGGCACGCCATGGAAGGCCTCCATGGGGCCGGTGTTTGCATGGGGCCGTTCGGTGGGGAACTGGAGAAGGTACAGTGGGGGGAACATGAGTGGATCAAGCGAGCCTTTTCAAAATCCTATTGAAGAGAGGTGAGGAAGAGCTGACAGGCGAGTTCGTGTTCAACATCAGGAACCGGAGCGCAAGGACCGGAGCGTAGGATTGCAACACAACAAAAAGGGTGAGGAATGTGAGGGAACTGAGCGAACCACCCCTCCACCTCCAAGAAAAAACAAATCATGTTTACACCACTAATATCGAAGGTAAAAGAAGTTCCTTTCCACGTCACGTCCCCCTAAACCGATTTTTTGATGATTTTTGTACATGCTCTTGGACTCCCAGCGCATTGATGTCACCCTACTTCGTGACCCACGTGGGTTCTGACCCACTTTGTTCGTTTCCATCACATCTTGGCACAGGATGGAAGGGCCCATCACCGAAGTCCTCGCCGCCCCACCTGACGCGCGCGCTTCGTCAGCACCAGCATGGAACCCGCTGTGAACAGCAAAGGCAACGGCCGCGAGGTGCGAGTGTCCTGTGAGGACGAGGGGGCGGAGGGGGTGGAGGGGATCAAGGGCGGTGATTGGTTTGAACTTCGACATGTTTGGATCCATATGATGTTACTTACCATATGTTGGACTTGCTTCGCTCTAACGATTGTTCACCCTTCCTGTTCTCCCAGATTTTCTGCAGCTGATCTCCTTGCCAAGCAGGAAGACACAGGGTAACCCGATGGAAATCGTCACCAATGGGCTGGTGGCATCCTGGCGCAGTCGGAGCAAAGGAATTGCAACATATTGCAACAAGTTTCCCTGACCTCCGCACCGACTCAAGAAACATAAGCGCCGAAATCAATTCACTCGGCCAACAAACGCGGAGAAAAGAAAGAATCCACTGCCTCCTCCACATCATCTCGGTGTCCCCCCAAGCGGTCGGAGGGCCGCCGAGCAGCATGGTAAAGGTTGCAAATCGCCGCCTGGAAGCGAGGCCTCCGCGGACACGGCCATGACGACATTAAATTATACAAAATATCGAACATTAAACAACTTACAATAGGGGAATGCATGGAAATGCTTTATGTTTGCATGAAACTTATATAGAGTTACATAACTTTAAGTTCAATTCCCGCAAATGCTCCATGATGCTTCATGCTCATCCAAACGGCTGAAGATTAAGGAAAAGTAAGTTTCACCTGACCGGTTCTGATCCAGGGGGGCTCAGTTGAATGCCTAGTGTGAAAGTTAAGCTACCAGAAATATCTCAAGAGAATGGAATCCTGAGCCGGGCACATGGAGTGAATTTCACCAGCGAGACGCAAGAGTTCCTGAGCGGATACAAAGAGCTGGGTGAGCAAATAAAAACAAGGGCTCCAGCACTACCAAATGGTCACTCCAGTCATCGTCTCAAAACCACCGGCTACTAGCTCTCTCTCTCTCTCTCTCTCTGAGATTTAATAACCACTGGGAGGTTGCGGAGGTTGAGCTGACCAGGGCTGGTATGTGAAATGGGAACGCAGCCAACGCAGCGGAACTCGCCTGGGATTGCTTTGAAGTAGAGTCCGCAAATGGCACCAATCCTCCAAAAGGTACCACGACCCACCCACATGATTCGGGTTGCCTCAAGATGAACATGCCTCTCAACCAACCTGCCAGGAGTCACAAAGGGGTCCGTATTCAAAGATGGGGGTGCACACTATTGTATCCGTTCACTTAGAGACTAAAAACAATTCCTTTGTGACTTCTGGTATGTTCATCTTATTGGCTCTGTGGTGTTTGCGGAGCACCCTCACTTTTCCAAGGTCCTGCCAGTAAGACCTTGCGGTGGGGGCAACGGGGACAGGGGAATTTGGCCTTGTTTGTCTTTTTCTTCATTTCTGTGTGCAGTCTAATTTGGTTCGTTTTTGCAACGTTTGGGGAATGTTTGTCTTTTGCGGATCCTTTTTTCTTCAAAGAGTGTGATACGTCGGAGGTCTGCAGAAGGTATGCTAAGTTGCAATGGCTCCGTACCCAACAGTTACTTTCTTGGTAGTCCATTCATTCTTGACGCGCGGGCGGGGTATTTGTTGGAGATGTGCTGGTTTAGAACCAAAGCCTTTGAATGTGCATGTAGCGAGTGGTGTGAGTGGCTCAACACTTCAAACAACCCACAGCCCCCAATACGCCGAAAGCAAAGCAAGTTGTCAACTATAACTGACTATAATAATCTATTGAAATTGAAACGTTCCGGACACACCTCTTCCAAGATGCACCAGGGAGAATTGCTTTCAACCACCCATCACACAGCCGAATCAAAAAGCAAGAGTCAACGGCTCTGGATGCGAACGAAACCAATAATTCAGGAAGGGGCCTCTCATCTGACAAGTAGCCTCAGTGCAGCACTGTGGCCTCTAGGTCCAAGGCAATAAACATGGGCATTCCAGTTCACGGCCTTCATCTTCTGGTAACATTGGTAACTAGCAAACTCTCGGCATACGTGGCATACAGGGCCATGCGGTTCGCACGCCCCGGGGATGTCAAAACGGATTGTTGTTGGGGCCATGTGCAAAACCACCGATTGAAACTCGTCCTGGTCCTGGTGTGTTGGGGTTGGCATTGGAAACAAATGGGGCCTCGCTGCGCGCTCAGCATCTTCTCCCCGGACTCCTGACTATACAAACATCTTTAGGTCCTTCGCCTTGTGAGATTGTTCATACGGCCTTAGACCTTAGATGGAAACACTGCGCAATGGCGGGTCCAAGTTATTGGGGCACGAACATCCGGTGTCTTGGTCAAATGTCCCCGGAGTACTTGAAAAGAGCCATCCGTTCGCTGTTGCCGAGGGGCTGCGGGAAGACCAATCGTATTGCTGGCCCAAGGTGACCTTGAGCTCGCTCGCTGTACTCCCCAGGGAGGGAACTCACCGAATGTCCTTTGTAAAAAATAATGACGGCTCAGTTTTGAGGATCAAGTTGCCTAGTCTGGCGGCCTATTGTTTAAGGTTCTAAGGTCCTAAAATGTCCGAAACCTGGTAGACTTCGATTGATTCCTGAGAGCTCTAGGCGATTCCTTCCAACCCTGCCTCAGAGGGACTGGGTTTCCTGTCATCAATTTCAGATCTCACTTGCATTTGAAAACACAAAAAAAGAGTATCGATCTCAGCCAATGAATGCTAAACCCAACGGTGTGTGCAATTCGTGGTCCATCAAAATTGTGTTTGGGCTCGTGTGCCATCATCTGCTCTGAAACCGGCAGACTACAACCAAGTCATTCTTGCCCAACATGACTCGATGGCATATCCGATCAAACAGCAAGATCAGCAAGCCTTTTGACGCGACCACTTCAAAAACATATTGATTAGCATGAGCCGTATGCTGCATCAAACCCTGCAACAAAAACAATCGCACAATGCGTAGATATTTCACACAGGGACATGTAGGTTTGAAACCTTCTTCCATTCCAATTCTGGGGTTCCTTCCAGTTTTGGCTCAGGAGTCTCATCTCGTTGCTGGAAGTTCATGAGACGAGGGCCCATGGTAGAGCCCAGCTGAAACCTCCAAATCCAGGCGCCCATCTTAGCCGCTCGATCACAGATAGACTGCTTTGGTCCATGCCTAAGGGAAAGCCAAGGACGGACAGCGCATGGCCAAAATCATCCCCACCCCGAACCAGGGTTCGTCGGGGTCACCTTAATGTATCCTGGATCCTTGCGATCCCAATGAAAGAGATGGTACTTATACCTTGAGTCTCCAAAGACCTTTTTATGCGTTTTTGTTTTGGGTCTAATATTTTTGCGTTTTTGATCAAAAAAAGGTACAGAGTGAATCTTCATCCGGACGCGTCCGGTGCGGATGCTCAAAAACGCCTTTTGGACGCAAAAAGACGCGTATTGGACGCCAAAAAGAGGTCTTAGGACACTGTCTATAGGAGGATCTGACAGGGGACAAACAAAAAAGGAACATTTTGTTCCATATGCAAAAAAGAGTGTTTTGTTTCAAAAACCTCTTTTTCTTGGAAAGGCAAATTTGAGACTCAAGGTGTATATATACATATATATATGTATATATCATAAGTTCAGTTTTATGCTATCTGAATCTACTTTGTCAAACTTCCCCCGGCCCACACCTCAAAGGGCCACTGCACAAAGCGGGGGGATGATGATGCCGCCAGTGGTTTACAAAAGAAGGCATCCCATGGCGACAACTTTTCAGTCCTGCACACCACTGATTACATCACCGAAAGCACTCAAAAGTCCGGTTTTGCTTCTTAATCTTCAAAGTGAGCAGTGCACTTCACCTGTCCAATGAGCAAGCAAGCACAAATCCAAGGCAACTTCAATGTGGCTGAGGCGCTCTCTTCGCAAAACTTCTTGAGGCCATCTTTCAGCCAACTTGCCTGTATGAAAGGCGGCTTCGTCGCTTCAAGGGGAACTGTAAATACTATGTTTAGCAGGGTGAACTGCACGTTCTGCACTCATTAAAGGCCCTCCAAGTCCGAAGAGTGTTTAGAATTAGTTTCCGGCAAACAGAGTGTGAGCACCAACCCAACATTGTAATTTGTCTGGCAGTATGCAAATGATTAAATTAGCAATCGCTTGCAGTTAACTTTGTGTATTGACATTGCATCGTCAAAATGCAGGGTGTGGAGCTGAGCAGGGAAACTTTTGGCTGTGATTCTGGCTCATTTGTATGACTGGCTCCGGAACATCATTGATGTTCCGGAGCTGAATTAGGGAACATCAACTATCCCAAATCTTGTCTGCTAGCAATGGCTAGCAACATACCATAGTTAATTGATGTTAATTGACCTAGGCCTAGTCATTGTTTCAGGTCGACCATCCCCGGTCACTTGACCAAACATAATCCCAAAACATCTGCCCAAAAACCGAGGGCCGAACGACCGGCCCTCGCTCCATGTGTTTCACCCAAACGGGAACCCGGTCCAAGACCGGTGCCTCGGACGACTGGCAAAGGTTACTGCGGTGGGGCGGCAAAGCCCAGTCAGTGAGTAAGGCATTCCTCACAAGGTCGGCAGCCGCTAGGAAGGGAAACGAAGGAAGAGGTGGCAACACCCTGCCACACGTGGAATTGTTAGGCACTGGACAGTTTGGAAGGGTTGACTTCCATACATTTCCTAATCTTCCATCTTGATGAGGTTTGCTCACTTAAGAACCATATAGTCCGGCCAGCCCTTTGGCCCGAGGGCAAGGAATCCTTGCCTTACGTGGTCTTATGAGGTGATACTTCCAAGGTGCGCCACCACCGTAGAAATCACTGCTAAAAGCTATCATTTGGCGGAAACATCGAGGTATACCTGACCACAACCGCAACCTGCTATTTCAATTTCTGCAGACACCGCAACCGGAAATCCTAAGGTCGGGCCCCACATTTCGCACTCCGTCGGTCGGGCCGTGCAAGCAAAACCTTATTGAAAGTAGACGGCAGAATTGTTAAGGCTAACTATAGGACTACTAGTGACACAATAACCGTACACAAGCACCCGTCAAAGTTGCGGAACGCCAGTGAATGTGAGTGGCAAAATTTCTGAATGTGTGGAATTTGTGAATGTAGACCAGTTGGCCGGGACTCAAAAACATTGCAAATTTGCTAAGGACAAACAAGCTTCAGCAAGTCACACTGTTCCTGTAGGCCTTGGTCATGGTGAAAAAGCCAACAAGGCCAAGGCTCCTACACCAAATGAGAGCTAGGGGCAATCCTCCCCGCAAAAGTTATGAGGCGCTCTTAAATGTTGACGTAAGCTATCAGCAGGTGCTTCCCCGGCAGTTCGAATGTCATAATACGTTTTCGCTTCATCAAGGTTTTCCAGCATTCTGTAGCAGAATATCATGCCCTCGATGGTGGACTCGCAAACAAAGACCTGCGGTCAAAACTTAAACGTTCAAAGGTGAGGGCCAAGTGATTCATGAACAAATATAAACATCATGATTAATCCGGAGCTTGATTTGCAGGGGCACTACTAGGGGCACTATTTCAATCGCACATTGGACATCATTGGACCAACACTAAGCGTCATTTGCCCTCACACGTGTCTTCCTGCCACGCATGCAACACACTTGGAAGGGTAACCTGGTCGTCTGTTGGAATGAAACCACTAAGTTAATATGTTTGGTTTAACATGCATAACCCTGCGGCGTGAGGGAACTTCTCTCTTTTGGCCGCAGCAACTAGTAGCTGCTTTCTCTCCAAGATCGTTGGAATTGTTGTGATCTTCGAGACCGCCTTGTAGCTAGCGGCGAGGGTATTGTGAGCTAGAGTCTTGCAACACATTGGCAACATCAGTCCCTTTTTTTTGTCTCCTTCATTCCAACTCCACGAGGAGTCACCTATTGAATAATTGGTTTTCGCCGCCGGCACTTGGTTCTCGCCACTGGCTATTTGGTTTCAGGAAATTTTGACCAATAGCAAGGTGACCAATAGCAAGGTGGGCGAGCCAAAATCCTGTACGATTGCATGTGAATTCATAGAGGAATGTTTGTTTCACTGGCTCCAGTTGACAGTCCCACGTCGAAAAAGATCCTAGCACATTCTACTTCACAAAAGGGCCACCCCTTCCTACACAACGTTCAGAAGAAAGAATCTAAGAACTGTTGCAGCGAGACGCTCAAGAGGCCCGGAATTAGGTAGGCCTCTTGGTCCACAGCATCGCATACCAGCCCTTGGTGTGACGATGGCTCTGGAGTTCTGATCAGATGAGAAAGCAAGTGATGAAGCCCTTTGCTTCTTCAGCACCCGTGGATTATGGCAATCAGTCATGAGCAACAATGGGCTCTAGATGGTTTAGAATCCACCCCCGCTGAAATTCTTTGAATCATCAATCCAGGAATCGAGTCGTGGAGAAGAAAGCAAACAAAGCAAAACCATTATATAAATTATATAAACACCTGCAAAGGAACAAATGCACCCAAAAGATTGGACGTGCGGATCTCACATTTCTTCCGGTCCCCAGCGGCGGAAAGCCTTGCCGTCCGCGAGTGCTTGGCAGCGTGGGTCCTCCGTCGAAGTGAGGAGATCTTCCCCAAGTGACGATTCCAGGTCACCTGCGCGGCCAAACAGAGCCGAACAAACACGAAGCACGGAGAGGTCCAGAGCACTGTGATGCCGGTCCGTCGTCCTCGTCTCCCCTCCTTCCAATAGGTCGCAAACCGAGATACAATGCTATTAAAAAATCGGCAGATTTGAAAGTTACACGGAAGGGCCTCCAAGGCAAAATGCGGCAAAACCTGGCCTTGGCCACTATGTCCATAGGCCTGCCACTATGCTATCTCCCTCTCTAGCTCTCCGTATCGCCGTATTCTCCTCTCCCCACCAAAATGTCGTATACCAGAGTCAGTTCAATGGCTCAAATGATTGCCGTGGGATTAGGTGGATGGAACCCTTTCTAAATCAAATTGGCGCGTTGGGGCAGCATCGGTTCCTGCATAGCAAAAGGATGTGGCTCCCAGACTCCGAGACTAAGCCACGACCCTCTTTGAACGAGTCCCAACCTCAAATAATGGCTTCAACCTCTGTTCTTTTCCCCTTCCCCTTCAGTCCCAGTTGCGCACTCTTCGCCAGCGGGAATCGAGCTCCTGATATGCATCCTTGTCCTTGGTGGCCCTCCCATCCAGATTCCATACCCTCACCCCCTATTAGGACTGAGCAGCAATGACCCCTCGCGGGCTTGTGGAGCGATCGCGGGACTCGCCCATGGGACCGGGACTAAAGGAATGAAATCAAATGGACTCTTCAAGTTCCTGATGTAACTATGCCTTTCATTTAGTATAAGCATGTCTAAGCGTTCTTTTGCTTCTGCGCTTCGTGTTCACCAGAATGCCCTTCATGAGATTCCCTGCGAGACCTCTCCCATTGGTCGACTTCGCCCAATCTCGGGGTCGCTCGGTGGGCGTCCGGGTCGCAACGGCGGGACCCGGACGCGCATGTGATGGACCACGACTGCTTACCCTTCCAGAAGTTGTGGGGATGAGTTGTGGTCGTTCTCTTAGAGGAGCAAGAGGCCTTTCTTTTCTAAACCTGCCTTCAGCTGTGTACAGCCGGTTGGTTCCTGAATCCGAAAGAGTGCTAAATCTGCAAAAGCTGGAGCCATAGATGCCGCACCCAACCGCCAAAGAGGCCAGCACCAACCCAAGCCACCATCACGGAGAGAGACGAGACAGACAGATGTAAGTCATTGACAGAAATTCATGGCGAACGCAAACAACTCTGAAACCAGGTGACCATCTGAGACACCAAATCTGGTGACCATCTGTGACCCACATACCAAAGACTCCCACCAGTTTCTTCCTTTCGTCAGGTCGACACTGAATTGGTACATCACCCCACCTTGCAAACCAAGGAAACACCTGGAATCAGGGGCTGAAACCTTCCGTCAGCACAAATGCACCGTGTTCTCCTCTTCACCTCAATGACTTGCACGTGGTGCTCATACTCCGCAACAATTGGCAAGCCTCTCTGATCTGGATGGCTTGCTGTTCAGCCGTAACTATTAAGCAGTAGGCAAAACTGTGTTTCTTAACTACCAGTATGTTGCTTTTGACTTGGACTGCAAAGGACTTGTCTTCCTTTCCGTCCGTCTCTAATGGCAGCAAGAACTGACAAAACCTAGATCAACCCACCCTGGTGGAGGCATTCTTTTCCGCTGGGAACGCGCATAAGCTCAAATGCCATCGCCCTCCGAGTCAGCCGCGTCACTGTGGCCACTGCTGGCCATGGTGCTCCCCACCTGCGCGAGGAAGACCGCCAGGCGAAGGAGTTGAAAGAAACTGAGGAATCAAAAGAGAACTGTTGAGAAACCTTTGGGAGAGACCGCATAGGTCTCTTGTAGAATCCACCTGCTTTTGAGCACCAAACAAACCAGAAAATCTTTACAGATTCGCATCATCACAGACATCACCGGGAACTGCTGCAGCCGGCAAACCGCGTGCAGCCGTCTCGGTCCAACGCCCGTCCTCACTGGAAGTCGTAGAGGTCCATTTCCGAGGGGGCAATGGAAAGGGCGGCCTGGAAGGTGGAAGTGGGCACAGCTAACATGCAGTTAGAATAGAAACATGCATGTTAGAACACATAACTCGGTCAACAGTTGCAGTCCAGTAGTTATAGTTAGAACACACTTACACAACTAAGAGAGTTAATGATGCCCACCGGTGCTGATGCCCACCGTTCTATGCCAGACGCGGAGACCAGCCCTCCGGTCTGCCTTGAACCGTTGAACCTGGATGAGAGATGAGTCACCCACAGGCTCCGTAGCTCACCTGAAACTAGTCCCGCACCTAACCTACCAAGTTGTTGTGTTTACTGTTGTGCATTAACAGTCCACACCCTAGCTCATCCCCTTAGCTGCAGGGGTGGGGTAGTGGGCTGGCTGTCCGCCTAGTGTGCCCCCCCGAACTTGAACCTGGGTCTGACGCAGGAAGGATGCATCATAGCCACTACAAACAAGCCATACAGGCCCTCCGCATACCAAGTTGTGGAAGACATGGTCAAGTCAAAGAGGAATAGGGATGTCCAAAGGGTAGTTGAAAAGCATAATTGGTGTGCACTAGAGCGGTGACATTGTGCCTTTTGAGGACTAGGGCGGTGTCAGTCAAAAAGGAACCAAATTTGACGCCACCTGTGGGGGCCAACTTTTGCTTCACAAAGTCTTGAAGCTTGGGTTCCCTCGGATTGCGCTGTGTCAAGGTTTCCTAAGGTGTGCCCATTATTTCTGCCAGTTCTGGAAGAAGTGGCCGCCTTTGATGCTTAAGATGCTGACTGGGGGTCACAGATTAGCCTGATCAAATCAACAGGAAGTGAACACTAGGATGTCACTAGGGCCTCAGTCCATCTCTCATCCGTCCGAAGGCTTTGGCCATCGGAGGCCCATGCCTCTTCATGACCCTCGGCTCGAGGATGCTCTTGGCTTTGGGCCTGCATCGTTACACCAGCGAGTTCCGCGACTTGGGGCGTACCAGCACCCGGCACTTCCGACATGCCCCGAATTGTACGACTGGTGCAACGCGAACTCGTTTTGGATGGATGGATGGATGTCCAAGCATATACTGCTGTACAATGACAGGGGCGTTGGAAACTCTAGATTCAAAGAGGACAGCAAATTAGTCAGACACGCACCAAAATGAGTGTCTTTCGATGCCTCCTTCAGCAAACTGCAACAAATGGGGGTAACCCGGGTACGCCACCCCTATATAGAAAATGTTGTGGAAGTGGAAAAAAGGGCATGTCATGTGCATGTTTCAGTGCCTCATTTGGAAAAGGAACGCGCCTTTATTTGGAAGCTTTGTCTCTGGTCGATATCTCAGCCATGGTTATCGGGTCACCGGTTCTCAGCGTGTGAAGATCGCGCAAAGTCGTTGGTGGGGCCCACGGGTGGACCATGGTTGGATCTTTTGGCCCCATTACCTGGGCCCAGCGGATGATGGTTCAGTTTCGTGCCTTGTTCCATAATTGTTTACTGACTGTTGCAGGTAATAGGACAAACCCAAGGTTAATTCATGTTTCTTCCATGTGGCACAACGGGTCTTTGCTCGGATTCCTTGCGCAGGCTGCATTGGGGAGAGCTTGTTATCGAATCCATGGTCATGCTTTTGGTTCCTGCCAATATTTTGCTTGCACAATGTGAAATGATTGAGATCTTGTCAGTTATTCGAGATGGCGCAAAACAAGCCACCACCTGCCTGGCAACAGCCGCCTTGCTGCTTGGCGTCATCGTTTTGGGCGCTTTGACCACCTTGGCCTTGGCAGGTGCCTGGCGAAAGCCAGAGGGGCAAAGACCATCTGAGATGGGCCAGGAGAGGTGTTTATGGCAGTGCAAATCTTTTTTGAAGCAGCATCTCATCCAAAATGGATCAAAAAGGAACAACGTGCGCGGCAACCTGGAAGGCCAGGGTGATGCCAAAAACATGGTTTAACACACGGCACACCCAACCACGCATCACCGACTGAAACATCCGATTGCTGCCTGCGCCAGGTCCAGGGCATGCAGCCCAGCTGCCACCAGGCTAAGAATCACCTGCAAAGATTGGATCCAAGAGGTCATGTCTAGACTTCAAGCTTGCGATTCCAAATATATATGTCATTTGGATTTGGGTCCATTGGAAACTAAATGCAGTTTGCCCCCTGAGCGCTAATGATGTTTTATGGGCTTAACTTAAGCCCATAAGCTTAACATTGCACACCTCCAGGCTTAGGGTCGAGTTAGTTTGGGGGCGTTTCCGGATCATCTGTGGGCCAGACCGCGTTCCATTTTCGGCGGGCACCAGGGATGCCGAGAAAAACAATTCAAAGAAAAGGCAAAACAACAATTTGCTTGTGTTAGGGTTGGTCGTGGTTAGTCTGTCAAAACCACCTATAGGTTCCCCCTGCCTGAGCAACTTCCTGCCAAGTAGGCTTTGCCAGGGCCTTGGCTCGCTAGCTAGCCGCCCATTTAAAAAAAATGTGAGCCTCCCTAACGGCAGGCTGAAACGCAATCCATCTGAACATTTCAAACACTGCACGTCACACACACCATCTGCATGGGTGAAAGCAACCTGGGTTGAACAAACAAATCCGCCGACCCCACACCGTGGGGTGAGGCGTGACTGTCGATGTTAGCCTTAGCCTTAAGCCTTAGCCTTAGCCTTAGGCCTTATCCTTAGCCTCAGACCTAGTCCTTAGCCTTAGACCTAGACCTAGACCTTACCTCCCCTACCCCTCCGGACCCTTGTTGGAGTTACGAAATTGTGCCCTGAAAGCTACCTGAGCGACCCGGGAATTGTCCAAGATTCTGCCATCCCAATTGATTCACATCTTGGGGCACCCTCTCGACCCGCGCGGGAAAATAAGCACGGTCCAAAATGGTCCTGGGCTCGAATCCCGGGCTGGTCGCGGCATGGTCCCGGCCAATGCCCTTGTTTTTTTGGTAGATTTTGTCACGTTTTCTGTTGGTTTATGAGATTTTCAAAGGCTTTTCTGGCATTTTCCTAGGAATGCTCTAGGCTTTGTCTTTTTGGGTACCTGCTTTGGTGGTGCTGGGTTGGGTCTAAATTGGTAAACCTGGGAGGTACCCAAAAAGTCGACTTTTTGGGTACCTGCTTTGGTGGTGAAGGGTTGGGTCTAAATTCTTGGGCAATGATCGGGGTTCATGCAAGAGCTGACGTCCGATGGTAAATCTGGGAGGTACCCAAAAAGTCGACTTTTTGGGTACCTGCTTTGGTCGTGCTGGGTTGGGTCTGCACTCTTAAGGCTAAGGCTAAGGCTTAAGGCTAAGGCTAACATAGAGCAAGGCTAGCGCTAAGGTTCTATCCCTTGGGGGTCGGCGGCTGCAGGCGGTAGCCTGGTAAATAACCACAAACAAATAATTATATACGTAGCTAAAAGAACCGCCAGCACCAAGGCAATGTGCATTTCAGATTCAATGTTTTCAAATGGACTTCCCAGGGTCAGTGCTACATGCACACCTTCGACACCCTCCACCAAAACGACCTTACAATTGTCAGGTCCCTCCAATGAAAACATCCATGGTACCGCTCCCCAGGGGCGTCCATTAATGACCTCTTGGAGGTTACTGACATTAATGTCCATTAACAACTTGTGGGTCCTAGTGCATCAATCAGCCTTCTATCTTGTGGTCATGAGGGTGCCGCTTGTGGTCCTCTCAGTCTTCTCAGTCTTCCGTGCGGAATCCCCGAGCGTGGTGATTGATGACTGCTGCGACATGCACCATGCCTTTGACCGTTTGCGTTGGC